TTTCATAATGAACTACCTCAAAACATGGGCGCTTTATAATCGCAGCAAACTGTTTGGAAGCATTAAAAGAGTCCAAGAAGATATCCAAAATCTTTACCCCCCTTAGCTTTGCACTCTTTTTGCACGCATATGTGAAAGGACACAGGTTAATCTCCACTGCTGTATGGATATCTGTTATGTCAATGTACAAAATAAACCTGATTTAACATCCACAAACTGGTTTTGAAGCATCTTCTTTTATAAATGTTCTGACACGGCTGTGCTGATGAAGTAAAGCTGAAGTAAATCGCTGTAATTCATTACACACGTGCACTGTTTTAAAACATTTTAAACTTTTAAAATTTACTCTTGTTGATCATATTTGATGTTGATTGATGATCCTAGCAAACTGAACAGACCTTTCATTCCCGGTTGCTTGGCGCTCGTCCCCTCTTGTTGATATGATTATACACGTGACTACCGGGACATGTTAATACGCAGCTGTCAATCAATGCGGTGGGCGGGGTAACAGCACTTCTACGTCAGCATTTATAATCATAGTTTTACATTAATTCTGTATCTCTAGCAGGTCTTAGGGCAGGATAACAAATATAAATGCTTATGTTTAAAAATAACCCTACCAAAACATTTAGTATTTGGTGCTGTGATTTAAAAACCATTGCCAATACCACAATCAGAATATTCTTAAAAAGACTTTCTAGTAGTTTAAATATGAATACCTATTGGCTGTTTTCTTTTGAAGTGCCCATGATAACAATAAGGGCTACTGTTATCTGCCCTTTCACACATTCAGACTTTTTTTCCGGAAAGGGATTATGTGTGAATGGGCCCTTTTAGAAAATATTGGTTAATTTGTTCTGGTCATTTTCCGGAAAGAGAAGTTGTAACATTACCAGTAATTTCCCTAGATTCAGCTCTGTGTGAACACTGAAGGAAGATTGCTGTAAAGAGTGCCTTAACGTTTAAAACGCGCTGACATGGGACGTCAACAGCAGCCAATCAGACACTTAAAATTAACGCCTTTGAATCCTTCTCTAGAAACATTTAGCTGCTGCTTGTTAGTCAGGTAACGTTTCTATGATCCTTCTTAGTGCAAACTGTGATAAAAATAATCAATAAAATGCTTATGATAAATTGCTGTGAGTTTACCTGCACACTGCGTTCAGCTGCGTGTGGTGCGTGCATATGAAGGAGCGCCCTAATCAGTCAGGTTTAAGTAACCACTGCAGCACTCACTCAACTGGAGGGAATGGATGTGTGAATATTTTTTTTTCCGGAAAAATTCTAGAACGTTCTTGCCTGTGTGAACGGCACATATTTTAATTTACCGATAAAGTTCCTAGTGGTGGATGAGGAGTTTCACCCAAAAATGTGTAAAGCACTTAAAGTGTCTGGAAAAGTGCTATACAAATGTAAGGAATTATTATTATTCATTCATTCATTTTGTTGTTGACTTAGTCCCTTTATTAATCCGGGGTCGCCACAGCGGAATGAACCGTCAACTTATTTGCAAGTTTTTACGCAGCGGATGCCCTTCCATCCGCAACCCATCTCTGGGAAACATCCACACACACGTTCACACACACACACACACTCATACACTACGGACAATTGACCTGTACCGCATGTCTTTGGACTGTGGGGGAAACCGGAGCACGCGGACAAAATCCACGCGAATGCAGGGAGAACATGCAAAATCCACACAGAAACGCCAACTGAGCCGAGGCTCGAACCAGCGACCCAGCGACCTTCTTGCTGTGAGGCGACAGCACTACCTACTGCGCCACTGCCTCGCCTATTATTATTATGACTATTATTATTAGTATTAATTATTAGGTTGAGGACATTTCACAGCCTACAACTGACTAAAATCAAAAACAAAGTCAAAATCAAACAAAAGGCTTTTGATGAGATGTGTAAGAGACTAGTCTTATACACAGATGAGCAATGAACAATGTCTTTAGGTGCGATAACTAGTATTAGCAGAATAGTTGACTCTATTAAAAAAATTTGAAAATAATTCACATTGTGGTTCGAAACAATTTTTAAGAAGAATTATTCTACACTGCCATTTTATTATTTACAAACTTTAGAAGAAGGATATTTTGGTGAAACTACTTCAAAATATCTTTTTTTTTTCTACAAAGTATTAAAAATCTTGAAAAAATTATTTTAAAATGATCTTAAATAACTTCTTTAAGTTAAGGTAGCTGCCAACTAGTTTGTTTTAGTTAGTTTTCAACTAGATCGACAGGTTTGCAATTAATTTATATTTTTAAAATATTAAATATTACAAAATTGTAAAACTTTCATAATAGGCTATGAAAAACACAAGAATTACCAAAACAAGTAGCATACCTGGCTAATTATTTGTTTGTGTTCCAGATGGAAATATAATGGGTTGTCAACAGAGAAAGAGAGACCAACTCTGCAACCCATTTTCATGCATGTCGCTTGTTAAAAATCTTAAATTGTTTTCTTTCTCACCATCCATATCTAATTATGCGAGTATTTACACCTTTCTTGGGAGTAAATTCTCTGTTGGTGTTTAATCTCATACACTTTACATTTATGAAAATTGGGATATGGCTGCTGCTTTAAAGCAAGACAATAAGGTAATACAATTAAAATTTAGCTGAAATTAATTAGTTTTAACTATATTTAAAAAATAAATAAATATATTTCTCCAAAGATAATTTAGTATTTACTTTATTTTAAGGTGTCCTTGTTACACTTCTTCCATGTGCCATTTTAATAGTAATTACAGTAATTATGGGTTTTAATTATTACATGCAACTAAACCTAAACACAATTCATGTTCTAACCAGAATCATATAGTAAATACATGTAATTAATTTATATTACTCTATAATTAAAGGAGTATGTAACAATTCTTATGAAGTTCTCAGAATTTATCTTAAGAAATGTCTTAACCCTTTATCAGGGAAGGAATCATATACAGTAACTTCAATGGCTACAATATATTAAAAAATATCATAAGTTTTAAAATATTGTAATAACCCCCAGAAACTCTGCAGGGTTTTTTTTAATAAGTATTTCAATTAGTGCCAGATTAAGGGTTAACTAATTTTTGTAAAATGTTTGTGATTTTTTTTTTTTTTTTTTTTTTTTTTTTTTTTTTTTTTAATGACCATCTCGTATCACCACAACAGGTATGCATTAATTCGATGCCGTTATCAGTTGTTCCCATACATATTGTATTCTTAAATATAGAGATGTTCTGATATCTTTTTTCCTTTCCTAATTCCTGGGCTCAGCGTATTGTATATACATCTAGGAAATATACAGTTGAAGTCATCATTATTTACTTCTGTCTACAATTATTTACAATTTATTACTTCTGTTTAATTTACCCCCCCCCCTCCCCCACCACACACTCCATTTCCGGGGTTCAAAATGTTTAATAAAGTGACAAAATTTACATCTTTTGAGGACTGACGGTGGCTGGTTGTCTAAAAGAATAACTTTGGTTGAATGCTTCGATTGAATGACCTTTCCAAAATTAGATTTTGTGATGGCTCATGCTCTAGCCTTAGCGAAACCTTTGTTTGGCAAGGTGCCAAGTCTTCAAATGCTTTATTTAGTTACTCCTGTAAACGTTGCTAATATTTGTCAAATCAACAGTTTTTGTGGCTGGTTGGCCAGTCTGAAATAGTGCACGTGCTGCTAGCACATTTTCATTTTCATTCTTTACTAGAAAGAAGAAATTACTTTAGGAAATTGCTGTTAGCAGCATTAATTCTGATTTTAAAAAATGGTATTGGATTGGTTTATGGTTTAAAATACTGCAGGGAAAATAAGTATTGAACACGTCACCACTTTTTTCAGAAAATGCTTTTTTTAAAGGTGTTTGATAAGTAACATCAATACTTGATAAGTAAACTAATGCTACTAATAATAGAATGCTACTATTAAATAATTTAATTAATTGGTAACACTTTACAATAAGGTTCATTAGTTAATGCATTTTATAACATGAACTAATCATGAACAACACTTGTACAGCATTTATTAATCATATTTGAACATTTACTAATGCATTATTAACATTCAAGTCCATGCTAGTTAACATTAGTTAATGCACCATGGGTTAACATGAACTAACAATAAACAACTGTATTTTCATTACCTAACGTTTATTAACATAAATAAATACTGTAGTAAATGCATTGTTCAATGTTTGTTCATGTTAGTAAATGCATTACTTAACATTAACTAATGAACCTTATTGTAAAGTGTGACCAATTAATTAATTTAAATTTAATGGGGCGACGCAGTGGCGCAGTAGGTATTGCTGTCGCCTCACAGCAAGAAGGTCACTGGTTCGAGCCTTTTCTGGGTCAGTTGGCGTTTCTGTGTGGAGTTTGCATGTTTTCCCTGCATTTGCGTGGGTTTCCTCTGGGTGCTCCGGATAAAAAATTCATTTTTTAAAGGTGCTGTTGACTTTTTCACCGGATGTTGATAGCAAACCAAATAAATCCATATATGCAAAGAAAACAAAACTAATTAGTTTACAAATGAAGTCATGTGTAATAATGAAATGACACAGGGAAAAAGTGTTGAACACATGAAGAAAGGGAGCTGTAAAAAGGCAGTGAAAGCCCAGACAGCAGCTGAAATCTCTCAGTAGTTCTTCAGCAAGCCTCTGCCCTTTGTCAGTGTAAATTTATATTCGCTGCTTCAGTCCGACATCTACATTTCCAGGATGATGAAGATGAAACCAGGTTGAACATTTCAGCAAGACAATAATCCAAAACACAGCCAATAAACCTCTTAAATGGTTTCAGAAAAGGAAAGTCAAGCTGTAGAGTGGCTCAGCTAATCACTTGACTTGAATCCAGTAGAAAATACAAATTAAAAATCAGATTTGATAGATGAGACCCACAGAACTACTCAGAACAACCCTACTTGTGTATCGGCATGTTTATATCCAAGTAATGTTTTGTTCATACATTATGTCCGTTTACTTTTGTCCCCAGGCTCTGAGCAAGGAATGTCTATGGAGGAGAAGCCTGACACTCCCATGTATGTGTACGAGTCGACAGTGCATTGTGCGAACATCCTCCTGTGTCTGAATGAGCAACGGCAGCAGGACGTCCTGTGTGACGTGACGGTGCTGGTGGAGGGCAGGGAGATCCGCGCGCACAGGGCAGTGCTGGCAGCCTGTAGCCAGTATTTCTCACTGCTGCTGCGGGGACCGACAGAACACGAGCCACTCATCAGCCTGCCAATGAAGGTGAGTGAAGGAATGGGACAAAAAACATGATCAACAGCCCGTCTGAATGACCCATGCTGAAAAACTCACACACATGCGTGACTGACCAGATTTCTGAAGATTGCTGCATAATATTGAAGTCAAAATTATTCGCCCTCCTGTGAATTTCTTTTTCAAATATTTCCCAAATGATGTTTAAGAGAGCAAGGATTTATTTACAGTATTTCCTACAATATTTTTTTATTCTAGAGAAAGATTTATTTGTTTAATTCTAGCTAGAATAAAAGCAGTTTTTAATTTTTAAACACAATTTTAGGGTCAATATTATTAGCCCCCTTAAGCAATATTTTTCTTTCCAATTGTCAACAGAACAAACCATCGTTATACAATATTTTGCCTAATTAAACAAATTAACCTAGTTAAGCCTTTTAATGTCACTTTAAGCTGAATACTAGTATCTTGCAAAATATCTAGTAAAATATTGATGTTACAAGGAATTTCTATTTAAAGGCACCTGTGATGAAAATCAACAGCTGTTTAGACAGAACTGTTTGTATGTATAGTGTGTCCACAATCATATTGGAGTAATAGAAACAAGTCTCTTTTTCTTGACATTAATATAAGATCCAAATAAAAGAGATTTTGAGGTTTTCGCCGCCTGCCGAATTGATTGATTGACAGGTGCCTTTTTTTTTAATAACATGTATACAGATGTCCACAGAACATTTTTTGCAAAGAAATTGGGATTAAAACATGTTACAACCCTCTGTGATCAGCTGCACCCTAATAATGAATTTTATAAATATTAAAACATTTTAGAACAGAGCATATTTGTAATAGAGTGAAATTGCTTTGTCATTTTCAACTGCTATAATCACCATGGCTGCATGGTGTCAGTAAACTCCAATTTGTGTGCGTGTTTGTGTCTGTACTGCAGTTGGCATTTGTGTGACTCATCATTTCAGAAAGGTTTGAATAGACTCCACCAAAAATACATCAAATAAAATTAATTTGTATATTTGACTATCACTGACTGTTTATCTGACTTAATGCATGAGAAGCAAACGCGCATGTCGGAGTGGTGGGCAGGGAGAAGCAGCTCATTTGCATTTAAAGCCACAGGCTACGGAAAAAGCTACATTGTGCTTAGACACCAAAACAGGCAGATTCTACATATATAATAATCTGCTGGGTATTTTGAGCTAAAACTTTAGACATATTCTGGAAACACCAAAAGCTTATCTTACATTCTGTAAAAGGGGTAAAATACGGCCGGCAGCTAGCTCTCTGCAACTCTCACATGGTCGCCCACTGAAGCTAAGCAGGGCTGCGCCTGGTCAGTACCTGGATGGGAGACCACATGGGAAAGCTAGGTTGCTGCCGGAAGTGGTGTTAGTGAGGCCAGCAGGGGGTGCCCAACCTGCGGTCTGTGTGGGTCCTAATGCCCCAGTATAGTGACGGGGACGCTATACTGCTCAGTGAGCGCCGTCTTTCGGATGAGACGTTAAACCGAGGTACCGACTCTCTGTGGTCGTTAAAAATCCCAGGATGTCCTTCGAAAAGAGTAGGGGTTTAACCCAGGCATCCTGGCCAAATCTGCCCACTGGCCTTTGTCCATCATGGCCTCCTAACCATCCCCATATTCAATTGGCTGCATCACTGTCTCCTCTCCACCAATCAGCTGGTGTGTAGTGTGCGGTCTGGCGCAAAAATGGCTGCCGTCGCGTCATCCAGGTGGATGCTGCACACTGGTGGTAGATGAGGAGATTCCCCCCACTGTGTAAAGCGCTTTGAGTGCCCAGAAAAGCGCTATATAAATGTAAGGAATTAATTAATAGGTACCCTTTAAAATAATTTTGAATAATAAGCAATGATGCTTAAAGTTCTATAAATTACATCTTAAAACAACTACTAGGGATAGTTTAACATTTAGATTTCAAAAATAAATCAATTTGAGTATTCCTGAACAATGCTTTTTTCATCATCCACCAGAATAGTTTTCTTGCATTATTAAAAATGCAGCATCAATACTTGATAAGTAAACTAATGCTACTAACAATAGAATGCTACTATTAAATAATTTAATTAATTAATTTAAATAAAATGGGATGGCGCAGTAGGTAGTGCTGTCGCCTCGCAGCAAGAAGGTCGCTGGTTTGAGGCTTGGTGGGGTCAGTTGGCAATTCTGTGTGGAGTTTGCATGTTCTCCCTGCGTTCGCATGAGTTTCCTCCATGTGCTCCGGTTTCCCCCACAGTCCAAAGACATGCGGTACAGGTGAATTGGGTAGGGTAAATTGTCCAGTGTATGAGTGTGAATGCGTGTGTGTGGATGTTTCCCAGAGATGGGTTGCAGCTGGAAGGGCATCAGCTGCGTAAAAACAAGCTGGATAAGTTGGCGGTTCATTCCGCTGTGGCGACCCCAGATTAATAGACCCCAGGGACTAAGCTGAAAAGAAAATGAATGAATGAATTTAAATTAAATAATTAAAATCAAGATATCAGAATAATTTCTGAAGACATTTAAGAGTGAAGCAAGAATGCTTATTTATTTATTTATTTTTTTATCCTTCACTAGAATAAATTACATCTTTAAAAATAAAATGAATAAACCATGTAAATTCTAGAATGCATAAACATTCTAAAGGGACAACACGGTCTCTCCTTGGTTAGAACTGTCGACTCACTGCAAGAAGGTTGCTGGTTTGAGCCTCGGCTGGGTCAGTTGGCATGTCTGTGTGGAGCTTGCATGTTCTCCCCGTGTTGGTGTGGGTTTCCTCTGGTTGCTTCGGTTACCCTAACAGTCCAAAGACATCTGCTATTGGTGAATTGATTAAACTAAATTAGCCATAGTGCATGAGTGTGTGCATATGAGAGTGTATGGCTGTTTCACAATACTACGTTGGAGCTGGAAGGGCATCCGCTGTCTATAACATATGCTGGATACGTTGGCATTCATTCCGCTGTGGCGACCCCTGATTAATAAAGGGACTAAGCTGAAGGAAAATGAATGAATGACTAGTCAGATCCAGAATATTTTTCCATTGGAATATTTTTCTTATAACATTAATAATAATACTATAATTCTACTCTGAAATAACTAATCAAAACGACTCTGCTAGACTAACTAGAATGAAGACTGGATTTTTAAAGATTCTTAAGACTGGAGCAATGATGCTTAATTTAGTTTTAAGATTCATAGGAATAAATGATATTTAATACATAAGTCTAAACAGTTTAAAATCTAGATGTCAAAAATATATAAATTCCAATTGTTTCAAAGTATTTTTTCTTTTAAGAATACAGTATCACAACAAAAGTGCTTCTTTGTTGTAGAAACACAGAGCAGTCCAGCAGCAGTGTGTCAGAGCAGAAAACATGTTCATCATCCATCCATAACTTTCTTTGAGTTCTTATAATTGCTCTCATGTTGTTGTGTTTGCCTCTCAGAAGTATGATTTATTCATGGCCGATCCTCTGTGTTGTAACACTCGAGGTGCTTTGCTCGATCTCAAACCTCAAACTTATATTGCAATATCCCAGATATGTCAGACGCCTATGCTTATATATTAATTATCATTCATCTTCAAAACACTTAATGTCAGATTGTATTCTGTAATGACCAGAAAATTGGTTTCATATCTCATTCCCTCTCCTCAGAGTCACGCTGATCTTATAGTGTCGAGTTTTTGCTTTCTGCTTTGTGTGTGTGTGTGTTGTACATGCGTCCCTGCCTGCTGCCCTCATTAGGATTGCTGGTTATAACATTAAAGGAGTCTCATATGGCGCTTGGCTTCCATAAAGACATGCTTCTGCAGGCGGCAGCTGCTGATGCCAGCTGAAAATAGATCCAGCGAATGCTCAGCATTTTCCCCCCTCTAGCTTTTCTATTTATTAGCAGCTCTGGGAGGACTGACGGAATGTCTGGGGGAGCTGTGTTTTCTATTTTAAAGATGATGTTCTTGATGTGGTTGCGCTGCCCCGAGTGTTCGTGGATACCTGCGAGAGAGAGACTGAGTGATTGAATGTGATGAGGAGGGCGCTTTATTTTTGTTCCTGACACTCTGCTTGTTTTATCAACCTGACGTAAGAGCTTGATGGCGGGCTCAAACCTTTAGCAGGTAGCATTTTTAAAAATGTGATTTGAGGATAAGCAGATTATTTTCAGTCATTTGGAGGTCTTAAAAAGGATTCTTGACTGCGCATTTCTGGGGGGGATTAAAGATGTCATGAGGTTTGTATTTGGGATTCCCTTGTAGCTTTGCTGCCATTCAGAATTTTTGGTTTCACTTCTTGAAAGATGTCACACTTTAGTTTACAGTTCACACTTAAATTAAGTTTCACCTTAAATCACTTAGTATTTTTTTTTATATTGGATTTACTGTAAGCAGGGCTGGACAAAAATACATTGAAATGTATTTTAAAATAAAATGGCAATTACATGAATTGTATCAAAATAAACTAAAAAAAAAAGCCAAATTAGACAACTGTATCAAAATAAAATACTAAATTTTTGCATTTTAAGAATACTACACTATACTTTTAAATGAGAGTATGAAATGTCTTCACAGGCCTGTTGGATCAATCCCTGCACCATTAAATTGACTTAAGTAGAAGAGATGTAAACGATGTTTAATCCGCTTGTTAAGTGGTGACGTATGTAATAGTGTTTCCGGGTCCAAGCCGCCACTCATGAGTTGAGATTACATTCATTTATGATCACTTTTTATTCCTATCACACATTAAAGTTAATTTTATATAAAATCATAGTGTACACAACAATCTCTGGGCTTGCTGCATAACAAATACCAAAATTTTACAATTTATTAAAAAAATGAATGACTTTCTGACCATTGGATATTAGGCATGGACATATATATATATTGCAATCGTGATTTTCGAAAGTATTAAATCTTTGTAAACATTTATTATTAAAATTTCATGAGTCTCCCCATTCAGTTGAATAGAGCGCTTTTTTTATTATTATTTTTTATTGAACAATAAATATACAATTTAAACATGACATCCAAAAAAATACAGAAGTAACTAATAACATAAATTAAAAAATAAATTACATAAATTAAACAAATAAAAAGAAAATTCAACATAGAGATCTTTACAATGATAATATTTTAACTAATCCAATTGACAGCAAGAATGCTAATCAATTAACTTCAGCTCCTTTGCAGTTGAATAGAGCGGTTGGACCCGGAAGCCGCTTCGAGTGACGTCACACTTAACAAGCGGATAGCACCAACTAGTCCTTACCACTTACCACCTATAGAGGGGAGTTGTGGCTTAATGGTTAGTGAATTTAGACTCGTAACCCAAACTCTTTTTCTCTTTGAGTTACAAATTACAATCCATGCATTATTTGTGCATTATATTCTCCTAGCATTCTTTCAGTTTACTCTCTTAAAAACACCAGTACACGATCTTTAGGTGTTTTATATTTCTTAAGCTCCTCTGCATTTCCACCTGCAGCACTGAGACTGATGATGTTCTGAAGCTCCTCTTCTTGTTCTTCAGGACTGATATTTTATTTCATCACATTTCTTAAGTAAAGATGTTAAATTGTACACTACACAGCCATTATATATTGCTGGTTTTAGCATTGCTCAGTATATTATTTTCAATGGTTGTTGACCTGCTCCTGAATATACCCTCACCAGTTACTTTCTTTTGTTCTGTTTTTGATCTCAAGCTTAGGCAAATCACTTAGAAAGCACCAATCAGAGGCCACATTTTTAAGATGTCATCATGTACCATAGACTTCTTGCATAGTATTTTGAAAATACTAAAAAACAAGACATTAAAGTCTTTTGATACAAAATATTAAGCCACTTTCATCAAACCTATCAAATACAAATTGCAAAATACTGTTTCGTATTTGAAATACATGTATCATAAATACTGCCCATCCCTGACTGTATTTAAAGTAAATGCACATAACTATATTATTGAAAATACACAGGAATTAATGTACATATAATATTTATATAAAAAGCAATATTTAATTTGTAGTTATTCATAATATTACAGTAGGTCTTGTCGAACATTACATATTTTTCTACACAAATGTTTTTATTGTAACTTTACAAAACATTTTTAAAGCGTCTTGGTGGTGCATTGGGTAGCACAGTCGCCTCACAGCAAGAAGGTCGTTGGTTCGAGCTTCAGTTGGGGCAATTGGCATTTTTGTGTGGAGTTTGCATGTTCTCTCCACGTTGGTTTCCTCCAGGTGCTACGGTTTTCCACACAGTCCAGAGGCATGCTGTAGAGGTAAATTAAATAAGCTAAATTGTCCGTAGTATATGAGTGTGTATGGATGTTTCCCAGTGATGGGTTGCAGCTGGAAGGGCATCTTCTGCATAAAACATATGCTAGATAAGTTGGCAGTTCATTCCGTTGTGGTGACCCCAGATTAATAAAGGGACTAAGCTGAAAATAAAATAAATGAATGAATGAATAAAATTACAGTAGGTCTTACTCAAACTTTACATATTTTTCTACACAATATTTTTTTATTGTAACTTTACAAAACATTTTTAAAGCGTCTTGGTGGTGCATTGGGTAGCACAGTCGCCTCACAGCAAGAAGGTCGTTGGTTCGAGCTTCAGTTGGGGCAATTGGCATTTTTGTGTGGAGTTTGCATGTTCTCTCCACGTTGGTTTCCTCCAGGTGCTACGGTTTTCCACACAGTCCAGAGGCATGCTGTAGAGGTAAATTAAATAAGCTAAATTGTCCGTAGTATATGAGTGTGTATGGATGTTTCCCAGTGATGGGTTGCAGCTGGAAGGGCATCTTCTGCATAAAACATATGCTAGATAAGTTGGCAGTTCATTCCGTTGTGGTGACCCCAGATTAATAAAGGGACTAAGCTGAAAATAAAATAAATGAATGAATGAATAAAATTACAGTAGGTCTTACTCAAACTTTACATATTTTTCTACACAATATTTTTTTTATTGTAACTTGACATGTTTTTTTTTTTTTTTAAGGAGTTAGCGATTATAGTGACATATAGTGCAGAAGCGCTCTGGGCATCCAAAGTTTTTGTGGACCTTTCCTCCCTCTTTCTCCCACTTCACTTTGTTAACTTACTGTCCTGTCAAAAAAAGTCAAAATGCTACAAAATAACTTTTGAATAAGCAAAGTTTTGATTTTTTGTGATAAACATTTAACTGGGGTGAAATAACTTGTCATATTTAAAGAAATGGGGTGGGGTTGGGGTAATGTAGTAATGGTTGTACATACGAGACCCACTTTATATCGTATGTCAATGAGGCAGTGAAGATCACTGGTTTTAAAGAAAATAGACCTTAAACACGCTGATTTTATAATGGCATACAGTTCGACATAAAATTTTGAACCCAGGTTACTGACAAATTAAAAGTCCTTCCTTATCAATCTGCAGATACCCTATTAAATACATTTAACTAGCCTTAGTCATCATGTAAAAATATTAAAAATGCTGAGTATTTAAATGCAAACCTTAAATTATGTATTTTTCATGTTGTGTATTATAAATGAACTTGTTGCATTTAAAATCATTTCAGTTTTTGTGTTATGCTTTAATGCATTTAAATAAGGATTTAAGCCATTTTAGCAGCATTTATCTGTTTGAGTTGATCCTTGAAAATTCCATGGTTCCTAAATTATTTTGTGGTTGAAATGTTAAAGAAAAAATAAGATTTATCAAAAGAAAGAACAGAGAATCTGCTAATAAACAAAGAAGAAGAAAAGTGTTTTATTCTTGCTTCATGTCTCTTATCAGTGTCATAGAAAGGCTTGATGATTGCTAATCATCTGTCTGTGCATATTTATTATTTACTGTAAAATTACTTAAGGGAAAACAAATTTAAAATGCTGAAAGGAAATCTGAAGTAACAATGGTGGTCTATGATGAAACAAAGTAGTCCATTAAATTGCCCACTTGTTTTGTTTTGTTTCTCTAGATCACAGAGAAAGGCTTTGCCCCTCTGCTGCAGTTTGCATACACCGCCAAGCTGCTCCTCAACCGGGATAACATCCAAGATGTCATGCGCTGTGCTGAATTTCTGGGAATGCACAACCTAGAAGACTCCTGCTTCCGCTTCCTAGAGGCCCAGATGAAGAGTGAGCTAGAGGGCACCAGTCCCCCATCAAATCAAACCCTGCTCCAGAACCACCATAATAACAAAACAGAGGATGCAAAAGTGCAGCTGAGGGACTCCAAACCACCACTGTTCGGATCAAGGTTGCATTCTGAAACGGAGCAAATGAAAATGCATCAATCCGACCAACCTCAGCCCTTTGACCTCCCTCGCTATCCCAAATATAGGAAGTACCATCAGGTTCACGCCAAGCACAACACAAGCACCTCTTCGCACAGCAGTACCTCAAGCTTACAAGGCTCCCTGCAGGACACCGTCACCAGCAGCAATGCCCGAGGCCTGGATCTCTCCAAGGTAAAAGCAGAACCAGTCAATGGGGAAGTCTCTGTGCCGTTAGACTTGTCTGAGTTGGAACAGAATGGTCCGGTCAGGGGTAAAGTAATTGAGATGGACATAGAAATGGAGTTTGATGGAAGGCAACTTAGTTCAACACCCAATGAATTCCCAGCAAGCAAACGATCACCGGTGTGCCTGCGCTCCCTTGTTAAAAAGGAAGTCTCATCTTCAGATCATTGTCTTTCCACTGACCTGCAGCTTTCCAGCAGAACTTCTCCACTTCGGGAACAACAGGTTGTCACAGTTCAGGAACAACAGGTTGACTTCCAAAAGGACTATCAGGCTTTTATTGGAGGACTCTCGTCAAAGAAATTACCCGATGGAGTGTCTCTCAAATCGCTTTCTCTTGAGAGGATTTGTTCACAAGATCCCGAACAAGAGAACGACAGAAAAAGTGTCATCTTTTCCTCTCGAGGCCCCTACCATTTGGCGCCCACACATTCATATCCTGATGAGAGTTGTTTGGGGCAGGAGACTCCAGAAGACCTGTGGGCAGGATCCAGCCAGTCGTTTCCCTGCACCCAAACTCTGTCCCCAACTTCGTCCTCTCAAGATCCCTCTTTGCCCTATCGCCGGCACCCTAAGAGCAGTTGTCCGGTGCCCATTAAAATGTGTTCCCGCTCGACTCGTGCCGATAGCCATGTCAGAACCTCCAGCTCATGCTCTTCCTACTCGTATGCAGAGGACGGCAGTGGAGGCTCTCCTTCCAGCCTGCCCCAGTTCGAGCTCTCTACCTCTCCTTGTTCCACCATGGCGCGTTGTCTGGCCCTCGAACACCGGGAGCATAGCACGTCGGGGCCACCAAAAATCAAGTGCGAGAAGTCATACGACACTAATTCCAGTGACGAATCTGGATCTTTTTCTGATGGCGATAGCGAGTCGTTTGCCACCAAAGAGCGCACACAAGAGGTTAGTGTACACTGCTAAAACAGAAATGTGTAAAATTTACAGTAAAAAACTGACTGCCGTGGTTTCCAAAATGTTACCTTTAATAATTCTGGGAACCACATATACCAGTTTTTTGTTTGTTTGTTTTTTTAACTGTTAATATTTAAGTATGAGAATCAAAATGTACACAATTTACACAATTGGTTTTATTTCAAAGATTCACAGTAAACTACCATACTTTATTAGTTAATTTGATTGTTATACACTAGTCTTTTCAAGTATTAATATAGACACATACACATAACTTTGTTACAAAGACAAAAACACAACCACAAGCATTGAGAGAAAAAAAAGTCATATGATGCTCATCACAAACAACTTTTCCCACAAGCAGAGAAACATACTAATATATACACTCGCTGGCCACTTTTTTAGGTACACCAACTGCTTGTTAATGCAACTTTCTAATCAGCTAATCACATGGCAGCGACAGAATGCATTTAATCATGTAGACATGGTAAAGACAGTCTGCTGCAATTCAAACCAAGCATCAGAATGGGGAAGAAAGGTGATTTAAGTGACTTTCAGTTGGGCTGATTTGAGTATTGCAGAAACTGCTGATCTACTGGGATTTTCACGCACAACCATCTCTAGGGTTTACAGAGAATGTTCCAAAAAAAGAAAATATCCAGTGAGTGGCAGTTTTGTGGGCGCCAATGCCTTGTTGATGAATTGATTAAATCCACGCAAACTCCACACAAAAACATAAACTGACCCAGCCAAGGCTTAAACCAGTGACCTTCCTGCTGTGAGAAGATTGTGCTATCCACTACACTGAAAGAATATATTAGTATTTTAATATTTTGTTTATTATTTTAACTTTAAAGTCTCGTGAAGTGCTTTGAAATGTGCATTTTAATTCAATGTTTGATGTAATCTCAACCGAAACAATAAGTGGGACATAGTGTGGCTCCTCCCCCTTAAAAAACAGCTAATAGCGTTTTGCTTTATCAACGCTCTGCCAGTTAGAGTGCTTGAGCTTAAGTGCACCTACTGAGAAGCGTCTTAAAGGGGGCGGGGCATGTTAGATAGAGAGGATTTGATTAGTCACAATTTGTTGAGAAACTGAAGTATGAGGTGACGTAAATAAATTTAGGCGGAAGTGACAAACTTCAAGCTTTACATGCTTATATCAGTTTTATATCTCTTTAACACCAATTTTGTCACTGTTTTGGTGCACACTAAATTATAGATATGCTAAAAACAAAAAATACTAACATCTAAACACCATCAATTTTATTGGACCTTTAACAATAAAATATGTATTATTCAATCATTGATTTGATATATTTATAGTTCTAAATAACTAAAACATTGGAAAAAAAATCACTGAGCCAATTTTGTTTAATGATTTATTGTTGGTATTTATATATATATATATATATATATATATATATGTAGCGGCTACGTGAAGTAACAGCTGAGAGGCTAAACCAGAGACATGTTTTGTGACGCAAACATCAAATGTACACAAGGCAAGAAGTCGTTCAAATGTCATCACTCGTTTATTTTCCAATATAAAACATACCTTGATCTTTTGACAGTGTAGACTTTGATTTGGGCTTAAGCTTGATTTCGTTTGAGCCTGTTTGTGTTTGTTTGGTCAACAAAGAATACCGCGTCCCCGTTCACCCCCTCTCTCTCTCCTTCCTAAGTTGTGAATGAACAGGTGCCACCTATAAGCGCACTACGTAACCCGGTGACCCTCCACCACAATCACGTGACACGTTAACCATTTCATGTCTACTACAATCCAGCCCCTAATTATTACATAATAATTACATTAATATAAATAGAGACATGAAAACATTCAAAAGGGAAAATTCTTGATCCTTCTTGCTTCAAGGGAAAACAAAAAGTAAAGTGTTCATGTTATATCGTCTTCCGTTTCTTGTAGAAGACAGAGTTTTGTTATTGGTCTGTCGAGACAGCTGTATTTGGTCTTCACTTGTACATGACGGACAAATCCTCTTTTGTCAGGAAAGGTTTGAATTATACGTCCTAGCGGCCATGAGTTCCGAGGTGCTGTGTTGTCAACTAGAAGCACTATGTCTCCTACTTTCAAGTTGCGCTTGACTTTTAACCATTTTTGACGCTCTTGAAGCTGTCTTAGGTACTCCAGTACCCACCTTTTCCAGAACAAATCTGACATGTACTGTACCTGTCTCCATCGTTTACGAGCATATACTTCGTCCTTCTTAAATTGTCCTGGTGGTAAGGATGGAGAAGTCCTCAGAAGTAGCAGATGATTCGGTGTTAACGCTTCTAAATCCGTTTGGTCAGTGGATGCTTTGGTTATTGGACGACTATTAATAATAGCCTCCACTTCACACAATAGCGTTTGAAGTCCTTCTTCATCCAGATTCTGCGACTTCAAGGTAGAATTTAGGATTTTTCTCACAGATCTAATTAATCTCTCCCAAACTCCACCATAATGTGATCCAGTAGGGGGATTAAATGTCCACTTGATACCTTTCTGCAGAAGAACATTGTTGATCTTACACTGATTCCATTCCTTTATGGCAACTCGTAGTTCTTGTTCGGCTCCAACAAAGTTCCTTCCATTATCTGATCGAATTTCCTGCACTTGACCACGTCGTGCAATGAAACGGCGAAGTGCATTTATAAAGGAATCAGTATCCAAGGAAGGTGCTACTTCGATATGTACTGCTCGAATGGCCAAACAAGTGAAAATAACTCCATATCTTTTCACTACACTTCTTCTGCTTTTTACATTAAAGGGTCCAAAGTAATCTACCCCTACACGTGTAAATGGTGGTTCATTGGGAGTGACTCTCTCCGATGGTAAATCTCCCATCTGTTGACATCCTGGAAGTGCATTCAATCTTCTACAAGTAACACACTTTGACAATACTCTTCTTATTGCTGTACTCACACCAGTAATCCAATATTTCTGCCGCAATTTCGACAGCATATAATTGCGGCCACCATGACCTACTTCTTTGTGGATATGTTGCAACAGAATTTCTGCAATGTGAGAATTTTTTGGCAGGATGATTGGATGTTTAGAATCTTCAGGCATTGATGCCCTACTTAAGCGTCCTCCAACCCGCAGAACATTGTCAAAAATGGGACAAAGTCGATAAAGATAGCTACTCTTCTTTATACTTTCACCGACTTTCAGACTAGCAATTTCATCAGAAAACGCCTTCTCTTGAGAATGTCTGATAATCTCCACTTCAGCCATCTCAAGCTCTTCTAGAGACAGGTAAGGTTGTACAAGTTGGCTTTTGAAGTTCTCCATTTCTTTTTCCAAAGAGGTACTATGTTGTTCATTCAAATTCGAATCATCAAAAGCAGTTCTCAATTGTTTCCTCTTACGACTAAGGGACAAAAGTAGATTCTTAAATCTCAAAATCCAAGCTACTGCTTTCTTCAAGCGGAACCAAGAAGAAAAGTGATTGATTAATTGTGTGACAGCATCATCCTCTCCTCTGAGCTGTATAGAATTAATCTCAACGCCTTTTTTGATTTCAGAATCGTCGTCTTTGAGCCTTTCAAGTTCATTGAGGTTAACAGGCCACTCACTTTCAGGATGAAGAAGAAAGTCAGGACCTGCTGTCCATGTTTTGTTCTTAAGGAACACATCAACAGCTGATCCTCTGGAAGCAACATCTGCCGGATTTCTTGCTGAATCTATGTACCTCCACTGTGAAGCATGTGAAACCTTAAGAATCTCAGTCACCCGGTTGGCTACAAATACTCTGAATCGAGTATTCTCATTCTTAATATACTTAAGAACAGAAGCACTGTCTGTCCAAAAGACAGAATCTTGGAGCTGCAAATGCAGTTCTTTCTTCCATAACACATCCATTCGGCTAGCCATGGTAGCAGCAATGAGCTCCATGCGAGGAATTGTAACACACTTCATTGGGGCTACTCTAGATTTCCCCATTATAAAAGTGCAATGAGATTGAGAATGTTCATTATGCAGCAACAAGTATGATACAGTTCCATATCCTTCTTCACTCGCATCTGAAAAATGATGCAACTGTGCCTTAACAATATCTCCAAAATCTGGAGGTTTCAAACATCTAGCAACTTCAAAGCACTCCAAATAATGAAGCTCTTGAAGCCAGCTGGTCCACCTTTGAGCAAATACATCAGGCAAAGCATCGTCCCATCCCAGATTTTTTCTACAGAGTTCCTGTAATATTTTCTTAGCTGACAATACCACTGGGCTAACAATTCCCAAAGGATCGTAGATGGAACTAATTGTAGATAATACACCTCTTCTGGTTAAAGGACTTTCTTTCAATGCTACCTTGAACTTGAATACATCTGACTGGATGCACCACTGCACTCCCAACACTTTCTCTACTGAAGGAGAATCCCAATCCATTCTCAAGTCTTTCATTGACTTTGATCTCTCAGCTTCTGGAATAGCATCTAACACTTGAAGACTGTTGCTTATCCATTTTGTTAGCTTAAATCCACCCTTAGCACATATGGATACAAGCTCCTGGTACAAGGTTTTTGCTTGTTCAACTGAAGCGACTGAAACAAGACAGTCGTCAACATAAAAGGAATGTAGAACAGCTTCTACTGTTTCCTTGCTGAATTGTTCCTTATGATCTTCTGCACATTTTCTAAGCGCAAAGTTTGCGCAACTAGGAGATGATGTAGCTCCAAAGAGGTGTACCAGCATCCTAAAGTCAACTGGATCTCGTCCCAAATCCCCATCTGGCCACCAAAGAAACCTTAATAAATCAACATCATCAGCAGGCACTTTTACTTGATGAAACATTGATTCAACATCTGCTGTAATTACTATTGGCTCCTTTCGAAATCTTGTTACTACTCCAACAAGCGAACTAGTGAGGTCTGGTCCTTGCAAAAGCTGAGCATTAAGTGATGCTTGTTGAAACCCTGCTCCACAATCGAACACCACACGGATTTTATTCTTGGTGGGGTGGTAAACACCATGATGTGGAAGATAC